ACAGCCAGATGCTGCAACGACCGTTTTGGGACATGGAAATCTGAGAGTTCGAACTCTTGACGTTGTAGTATCCGAGCAACAGATTCTGAGACCGTGTTGCTACTGTAAACTAATTCTAACGTATATTGTATAAGACAAAACTTACATAGAAATAAAGAAAGAAAAGAATAGTCGTGAGTCAAATGTACTTGACGACCTGATACACAAAAAACGAATGTCGATACAGATGAAAAAACCGTAGTTATATCAGTGCAGATATGACTTTTTTGTGTGTTAACACAAGGGCGTCACGTACATTTGGCTCACGACTGTTCTTTTCTTTCTTTATTTCTATGTAAGTTTTGTCTTATACAGTATACGTTAGAATTAGTTTACAGTAACAACACGGTCTCAGAATCTGTTGCTCGGATACTACAACGTCAAGAGTTCGAACTCTCAGATTTCCATGTCCCAAAACGGTCGTTGCAGCATCTGGCTGTTGAACTGCTAATACCTTAATTGTTAAGTACATGTAAGTAATTATAATTTTGTGTTCTATTTCTAATTGATCATGAACAGTATGTAATACAATCGAAAAACAACAAACTAAACTATTCACTGTTTAAAAATAAAATACGAATAAAATGCATACCACCGCAAAGAATTTGTCATATCTATAAATAAACTAAGTCACGTCACACAGAGTTAATTTCAAATACTTTCACATTATGTATATGTCTCTTTCATAATCACAAATATATAGCACCAAAAATCAATCAACAAGCACCATTCTAACATAACGGACAAGAATTCATTGGTGAACTTCTTAGTAATAAGAATGATGTATTACATATACAAAGACGATAAATAGTCGGAGGCACATAAGATCCTCCCCAATGGCCTTGATGATAATGTCGTCGATGGCTATTCGAATTTGATGACAATAACAGATGTTTCATATCAATAAATAATGAATCAGCACGAAAATGAATACCATCTTTCTAAAAACAAAATATTAAAATTTAAAAATCTTTCTCTTAGACTGATTTTTACACTCATAAAAAGAATTTGCACATTTTACTTTTTTAAGGATATTGCCCTCTTTTTTAACAAAAATTTATTATTTGAGTTGAACATAGTGCGATGTGGAGAGATGAATTGTCGTTAAAAACTGACTTTTTTCATTTTGTCTGAAAGACTGTATCTCAATCAGAGAACTTATTCCTAAAATATTTTCTTAATCAAGCGCTTTCTTCTTTAGTAGGTCGTCTATGCATGTGACGATTGGCTAAAAAAAGGGTAGGTCTATTGACACCCCCGGGGCGGCAGCAAGAAGCTATTGACAGTCTAAAGACTGGTAGCAAGCAGCTATTGACACCCCATCGAACTGGCAGTAAGAGCTATTGATAGTTCAAAATACACTCACACACGGCATAAATGTGCTATTCAAAAAAGACCATCATCTCCAGGTAACATGGAACTATTCTAGTGGCTTACTCTCATGCACAGCCATCCCACCCGCTCCGAACCATCTCTCATAGACCGTCAAATTCAGAACTAACTCAACATAACACTTTGAATAACACATTTATGCAGTGCATAAGTGTTGGACTGTCAATAGCTTCTTGCTGCCACCCCGGGGGGTGACAATAGCCATTCCGCTAAAAAAATGAGCCTGTTCAATTCGATCATCTTTTCGAATGGTTATAACATGATTGAATCTCGAGAAAACATAGAACCACAGATCAGAAAATTTTGGATAAAAATACATCGATTTTCAGTTTCAGTGTGCTATTCTAATAAAAACTTGCATTCAATGGAATCTTTCCGTGTATTTTTTCCGAGAGAATGAAAAAGACAGGGGTGAAAGGTACTCTTAAATTATCTTATTTGAAAACAAAGTTGTTTTGTACATGCATTTAACATTAAACTAACGAGAGAAGTACCTCAACTGATAAATCGCTTTTTGAACGAAACCTAGTGGACTATAGGTAGTCGATGATGCTGATTCTGAATATCACCATGACTGCTGCTGCTAAACCTTCAAGAGCCGGTTTTCTGGAAAACCAGTTTTCGAGAAACTCTAAAGAACAACCAAAAGCTTTCTTAATGAGGCGTAATTATAGTCCATAAATTTCTGATTACAACGAGGTATCTCCCAG